ACTATTCTATTAGAGAGTAGCTTTTCTTAACAAAGTAGGAAGTTTAGAGTTTGATACCATCTGCTGTAAATCTTTCAGATAGCTTAAAGCTTAACATTTGCCCTGAGTGTTGGATGATGACTGACCTGAGCCAGTCCTGATTTTGACATGGATGTTTTTCTCCTTAAGGGTGCTCACAGCAGAGAACAGCACTTTTGAGGAGCAGCTTTGCCCTTTCTCTGCATAGAGTATTGTGTGGTGCGGAGGTCAGATGAAGTTCTGAAGTTTGGCATGTTTGGCTTCTTTATTTTCATTAAATTACTCTCCCTTTTCTTCAGAAATAATCCTGGCAGTCTTTCCAGCCAGAGAGCAACTCAGGCACAAGCTGTGCTCCCTTTATAACTGGTAAGCAGAATTAGGGGATCGCATACTCATGTGCTTTGAGCCAAGTCTGTTGAACACCTGGAGGACTCCAGGCCTCCTTTAGTGCTCCTTTGACAAATGGCATCCTCCCTCCATCTTTTTCAGAAATTCACTGTACCAACTTCTTTACCTTTTCCTTCTCCTCAGCATGCCCCTCATTTGGTGCTCCTGTTAGCTTCTGTGTGTAAACAGAGAAGAAGATGCTGCTAAGGAGATGGACCTGAGCCTGGTCAGAAGATAGGATATTCTTTAGTAAACACCTTTAGTTTTGTTTTTCCAGTAACACTCTCAGGATTTTAGTTGCCGATGCTCAGATTGAAGTTTTGAACTGGTAGTTTTTTCAGCTGTTGTAATGATCCGAAAGTATCAAGGTCTTTTTCCTGGAACTCCTTAATTCAGTTCCATAAAGCCCTCCCTCACCAAGGACAGGCAAAGCCTTCTGCCCACTTTGCAAATGGGAACTTGGGATGCATTTGGTGATGGGGTCATAGTCTTGTGGCAAGAGATTGATGGTGCTGGGAGCAGCCTGTTTGCTCTGCTTCCTAATCCCTAGATTAGGTAGTGAAGGACGATGAATTACAAGGTAGGAAGACATTTTGAGGCTGTAAATCTGAAGTTTAGTAGGCAGTGACTTCCTCATGTTTGTGGGGTTTTTTCCCTAGCCAGAGGTTTTGTGCTATCCTTGCAGATGACCAGGACTCTCTTTTTAAACTGCTTTTTTAAAGACAGGGAAATGCACTTCATTGATCTATGAATGCAGAGTATTGGATCTGCAATTGGATATTTGTTGCCTTACCTCTCCAAAGTAATAAGGACCAAAGAAATCTGAATAGAAAACTATTTTACAGTTCTTCTGTTCTTATGGTCTTTTCTTTCCCCACAGTGATCTACAGCTGTCCTCTGTATCAGTACTTCTCAAACTTATGTAGTGCAAGAGCCATCTACGCTCTTCAAAAACCACCCAGGGACTATATTGTAGAGCCCTATCATAGTGGCTTCCATTTACAGACATGTAAGATTTCGTTCGACTGGGAACAGTCATGTATTACTCTGATTTTTCTCTGTTTGCCTACCTGCTGAATTGGAGTGTGTGTTCAGTGTTAGGTTTCACATATCTTCTTCCTTTTGGGGGTTTGGGTATCCTGTAACTGTTTGGCAGTCTGTCTGCAGGCCACCAGTGGTGCTTGAGCAGAGGAGCACTGCTCATATTTCACTAAAACAAGACCCAATCATAAAGATTTCCATGCATTCTCACTGCTGACTTTTTTTCCCCCCACCCAGTGTTTAGTCTGCATCTGTCCCCTTCTGCACATAGGATTATAGAATGGTTAGGGCTGGAGAGGACCTTAAGATCATCTAGTTCCAACTCCCCTGCCATGGGCAGGAACACCTCACCTATGTTTCTCAAGGCTCTCTCTAGCCTGGCCTTGGACACTGCCAGGGATGAAGCATTCACAACTTCTTGAAGTGTAGACCTTCTTCCCTATGTCTAACCTGAACCCTGTTTAAGTTTTAACCCGTTACCCCTTGTCCTATAGCTACAGTCCCTGATGAAGAGTCCCTTTCCAGCATCCTTATAGGGCCCCCTCCAGGTACTGGAAGGCTGGTACATCCCATTGCTCCTGTCGCTATTGCTGAACTTCATCTGGAATAATCCCCTCCTTGGCATCAACACCCAGGTTTGAGTACTCTTTCACCTCTCTTGTGTTGGTTAGCTGTGTTATTCTGTAAACTGACCTTCATTAGTCATGTTTTCCCTCTTCATAATAATGTTGTTGCTCTATGAGAATGGAGCAATCCTCTGACAAAGCTCACGCAGAGTAGGATGTGCCAGAGGTCCCATTGCAAATACTCCCCTGCTTTAGCAATGAATATGATCCCAGCTGGGATCTCCATTCAAAGTTGATGGAGGGATAAAGTGTAGGTAACAGTGGAAGAACAGAAATAACTACTGAAAAAAGACAGTATAAAGAAGAAATGGGGATGGGTGTGAGGAAAAAAATGCAGAAAATAAAAATGAGGGGAGGGGGATGTCCCTATGAGGTCAGTTAGTCTTGAAGAAAAGGGAGAATAATTTAAGGAAATTATAGAAAGCATACACTGCCAAGGCTTACAGTAAAAATGAGGACAAGGATGGAGGAGGAACATAGTGACAGCATATTGACTTTGAAATTTAATTATGATCTTTTGTTTCTAACAACAAAAAATGCTATGGCTACTTCTGGTACTTGTCTGAAGTGAGAGCTGAACCCTCTCCTGATCTGAAGAGTTGTTGCTCTTCATTTGGCAGTTCAGGACCTGGCATGGTATTGTGTAGTTCCATGCTGATGTAAAACAGTATTGAGATTGACACTCAGCCACTGAATTAGGTCTGTCCTGGACATCAGTGCAGAGGATGTATGCTGAGACTCCTGTCACTCTGAGAACAGGAGCTTGGTGATGAGAGGAAGCTTTGGCATGTGTTTGTCACCCTGGGAAGGAGGAGGAGGTCATCACTGGCAGCTGAAGGACTTTTTTTTAACCTACAGCTACCTTCAGAATTGCAATATGTAAAACTAAACTAAGAGCAGCAGTGTTCTAGCTGTAGGCCACACTGAAACCTTGTGTTGAGCCAGGGGTTATTTATCCTCAGGTCTGGCTGGGAATTAGTGGTCTTGTTTAGAGGCTTCAGTAGGCAGGAACTGCTGTCTTGGTGGAGAAAGTGCCAGTGCTGTGCAGAGTCAGCAGGAGCACTTTGAGATGCTAAGAGTCTTCTCTGATAATTTTTGTTGACCCAGGTGGCTTTTTCTAAGTATAAAGTCAAAGAAATTACTGCTTGCCCCTTCCTTCATCTCCCCATGCAAGTGTCATGTAATCAGCAGGAATGCTGAATCCTCCCTGTCATGGGAGAGAAACGGAGGAAAGTGAGAAGGAACCATACATCCCTCTGCATCTGCACTCTGAAGGCAAAGTTATTTGTGAGCCTTAAGCATATGGGTGGGAGAGCTGCCAAGCCAAAGTTATTCCCAAGTATCTGTAAACTAAATCTGATTCCTTAAATACATCCAAGTAAGGAACTTTCACTCTGGCAAAGGCTTGTAAATATTAACAGTACCTGTCACTTTTGGATGCCACTTTCTGTTTTCATAGCAGTGAACTGAAAGCTTTGAAGTCTGGGATGTTTTGTTTAGCTTTGTAGAGGTTGACCTCAAAGCATCAATCTTTCTGTTCCTTTTAGGATGTATGAAAACAGTCTTTTCACATAAAACTTCTTGTAGCAACAGTATCACCAGTGGCTGGAGTTCTGAGATACTCACAGTGTTGAAGCATGTATTGAGATATGTATACCAAAATAGAGAGAGTTTTGCCTCTCATATTTTCAGTGATTTAGTTTTCTAAGAGGAAACATGCATAAACCTACACTTAGAATGAAATGAAAAATATTAACCTAAACAATGCTCATAAAGTGGTTTCTGGATGCATGGTGCTCTCACAATACATAGTTTTGCTGGAGTTTTAGTTTGCATGTACTTTTCAGTTTCTGCACCATCTCAATAGCATAGCCTCCACCTCTTTGGGTTCTCTGCTCACTGGCATAGATGTGAGTGGCTGGTAGTAACAGTCACGTTTTCCTTATTTTCAAGACAAGTTGCTGGTTGACATAAACCCGTGACTTGGTTTGCAGCTACAGTCACGCCCATCATTTGTGCTGGTCTCCTGTTGCTTCTTGCAGGAAAGTGTGCTCTTTCTCCTGAAATAAGTCTTAGAAATGAGTTTTGGCAGGCCAGTTCTGAACTACGGTTCAGTACTGCACAGCTTACTTGAGTTACCATTCATTTGTATCTCTAAAGTTAACCCAGCCACAGCTGAAACTCCATGGAGGCAGTACTTTCAAGACTGCTTGTTGAGCTGGAGAGTTGGTGGGTGATGTTCTTGCTTTGACTTAGTCAATGTGGGAACACCTTTCATCTGAAAGTCTTTGGGCCTGCTGACCTGTCCCAGAGCTGTGGCTGAAGCCAAGGTTCTCTTTGCACTTGAAATTGCAACCCAGCCCTCTTGAGAGATGTAGATTTATGCTCAAGTACTTTGATTCCTACAGTGCTTCCTCCCTCTTCAGCTGCATTCCTAGGGGAATCAAAGTTCTCCTACAGTGAACAGGATGTGAATTCTAGAGCAGTTCAGTCTACTGAGTCACTAAGAGGGATGGGGTCTGGGTCCCTCAACCCCATGTGAACAAGCACGATGTTCACATCACAGAAACACTCTGGAGCAGACCAGAAGGCATAATGTTAAGAGCTATAACCCCAACGGCTTTTCACCTCACTGGCTAAGTCTTTTACAGCTACATATTCCTAAATGGCTGGTGGTTTTTGCTGCCTAACTGAAAACATGGCCTTTATATTTCCATTTAGATTATTTGAAAGTTGGGCCTTTCATCTTCTGAAATGTTTCCAGAAACCCAAATTCAGGCCTGGCTGATAATCTTTTGGGTGCTTTAATATCAACTCTTAAAGTAAAGCTGACCATCAAGAAGCAGTTAGTATTGAGAGAACTGGTAATGATGCAGCTGAGAAGTTAAACCCCTCATCACCACTGAGTCTTTCTTTTTTGTCTTGCAGATGAGAGGATTTGTTCACCACCCTTTATGGAGCTGACAAGTGCCTGTGGAGAAGATACCTTGCAGCTTATAGAGAAGAATGGACTGGCATTCCCATTCAGTATGTACATGGACTCTTCCTTATCACTTTTAGTAGGTTCTGAATATTGCACATGCACCCCTCAAGGCATAGCTAACACTGTAGGAGTGTGATTTCATTGCCAACATGTCAGGGATGTTAAAACCTTGTTGAAACAAACACTCTGAAGTGGTCTGCTTGGAATATGGAACAAAACCCCTCCCTATCAGCTTTTACTTTGCCTTTTATTGTTGTTCCTTTCTTTAAACGTGTCACTACTGTAAGCATGTGTTCCTGGGAAATGCTAATAGTTCTAACAAAGTTAGCCTTTTGCCCTGAATTTGTGCAAGAATTTTATCCTGCCAGCTGCATTCATTTTTTTTTCTTGAGAAAATCACTGCCTCACTGACTTAACTGCTTTTTTTCATCCACCCCTCCTTTTCTTTTGTCAAGGCTACAAATGTAAGAAGGTAGAAGAAAGTGTAAAAATTTAACCTAGATAGCAGGCTCCAAGGGCCCACAGCCTCAAACAGCTGCTATGAACTGTTTGTGCTTTGTATCAAGTTTTATTATGGTGCTTTAATTCATACCTTTAGTTGATTCCTTACAGTATAAAGTGAGCAGAATCCATTAGTTCATATTTGTTCCCTTGATGCTTGCAAAAACTACGTTGTATCTTGGTTTGGTTCAGTCCACTCTGTTTCCTGCTCTTCCCCCAAAACAGGGAGGTAGGAAAAGAAGTTTTTCACTGTGTCCCAGTTCCTTTGTTTTCAGGACAGTGGTAGGTGTAAAGTAGCTTCAGCCTCAGGCAAAATCACATACTTCTGAAGATGCCCTCTGAGTATCAGGATGGCAATACTAGTAGTGATACTAATTTTTTAGGTGATCCTTTGCACCTCTATCCAGTCCCAGTAATGACCTATGCTTGCCCGTTAGTTACAGGGAGGAGCTGAGAGAATAAGGCTTGGAGCAAGTTTTGCAGTGACTGAGGACACTGTTCAAGCAGAGACATTCACTGATACCTCGTAAAGTCAATACCTTGGTCTGGTGAACTCCAGTGTTTGCACTTGTAGGTAGGAACAGATTTATAAGGGCTTTGTGTGTCCTGTTTAAGTGGTGCATTGTTTTTTCTTTCTCTTTTTTTATTTACCCAGTTTGTAAAACCAGAGTGGCCCATGGAACCAACTCTCATGAGGTGAGTTAAAAAACATTCTGCAGTGTTATCCCCTGCTTTCTGTCCCCCATGATGGTTTGGTGATTGCTTTCTGATCCTGTAGTAGACAGAATGAGGGCTATGCCCAAATGACTTCCCTTTCCCCACCTCTCCCTCATGTTTAATTACACCATGGAAGTTCTTTACAGCAGTTTCTAGCTTCTATGATCTAGTTCCTTCTTATCTAGCAGTTTGTAGACTTCAGTCAGCTCTTGTCTGCAAAGAACCTCCTTCAGCCTATCCTTTGGTGGGAGGTCACATTAAGTGATGTTTCCACTCCACCATGTTTCTTCTCCAACATGTGTGTGGGACATGTGATAAGTAAGTATGTGCTGCAGATGAAACATCTGGGTCCTCTTATTGAGGGGAGGGTAATAGAAAACACAGCTTCCAGACATATTGAGTTGTAATAGTACAGTTGGAACAGTGGGGAGAACAGGGCTGGTAGAACTATCTGCCTTCACTCCTTCCTGTAAGGCAATTGCAGTTAAAATGGTTGTGTATTCCTGGAAGGAGTGCATTCCCAATGAGTCTAGCTTCCTCTAAATTTAGGTGAGTTGAGTCCTGTTTTAATTCTTTTCCGTTTGTGCTTCCTGCTTACCACAACTCAGTTTTGATAATCCAGCCCTTGCTGCTGGCCCTCCTAATGCCTAGCTTCCTTTGTTAACAACGTGGTTGTTGGTCCAGGTTTTCCATCTGCTTCTGAAACGTGCAGTACGTTGCTGCAGTGTCTTTGAGGGCTGAAGGCCATGAAGTAAAATGTAAATCTTAGATGAGCAGAATGGCTGTGTCTGAAATCTCGAGTAACCAGCACTTCCTTTTAAAAATGCAGTGAGATTTTTCATGCAGGCCTTAGCTTGGATCATTTCACAAGCTGACAGATAGTCCTGTTAGTTTGCTGAAGCTGCTGCTATAAATTTTGCTACCATTCCCAAGAATGCTTGGGGACTGGATTGTTAATGAATGTAAGACTTCAGCTTCCCTGATGGTTTTTGTCAAAAGTTCCACTGCAACCTGAAATGCATGAATCTTTCAGTGCTTGTCCAGTCAGGCTTGGAGTTCATGTCCCTGGTGAATCTTTCTTTGCTCTTCTTTCATAGAGTGCAGACATACCTCAGCTTCCTGCCAGGATTCCATTTTCTGAGCAAAAATTAGACTACATTACAGCTGTAGGCTGCACTTTATCACAGGAACTTAGGACTGGAGCCTAGGAGGACCCCTGGAAAAAAGCCTGAAGTCTTGCATGGTGCTTTACATAGTTAGTAGTAGTAGTCACTGTTGGAGTTGCTGAGTTTTCAGGAGTAGTCCAAAAGTGTGTTTATCATCAGACAGGAAATGTAATTGTAACTGCTATTTTATGGTAAATAATGGCAAGGGAAGCGTAGAATAAATACTCTGCTTACAGTATAGTCTGTCTAAAAGATGGAGTGTAGGCCTAGAAGCCTATGCTGCCTAGAAGAATTTGTTGCCTGTTTTGTTACTGACTCCTCTGGCTTTTGGTTATCACTTCATTTTCTATAGAGATATTCCCACTGCAGAGCTGACACTGGAACTAGAACACAGCCTGATCAGAAGCCTGCTTTTTTTCCTAGGATGTCTATTCAGAAAATTCAAGTACTGGCTAACAGGGACAGCTGAAGGTGCAGGTTTGAGTTTGGGTTTGGTGCCAGCCAGGGCTGGTAGACTGCACAATTTGCAGTGAGAACACAAGTTAGTTAAGCTAAGGTGCTGTTAGTGAGTTGTCTTGTGGTGTCCCACAGTTCTATATGGCCTCTGCACTGGAAGTCACATTGGCCAGCTCAGGACTTGAATCCCAGTGTATCAGCACCATTTGTTAGAGCTGAACAGAGATGATGCCTGAAGGTTGTCCTTCCTGGCTGCCATCAGAACATAACTGACATTTGGTAAAGCTGCCATGAGATATCACTGAGACCCATAACCTGAAGAAATGTGTCCAGGATGACATTTTTCTAAGTCTTAACCAGACAGGAATGAAAAGGCAGAGAATCACTGTGGGTTTTGAGACTGAATTCCTTAAGGATATTGTCAGTAAAAATTGTTGGTGCCAAATGTTTTGTTTTGCCTTCAAAAGAGCTCTGCATTTGTAATGAGGAATACTATTTGGATATTATGATATAAAGTATTATTCTCCTGTTACTGCCCGACACAGCAGGTCTGTGCTAGATGACAAAGAGCAAGTGCACCCTGCAAGCAAATTCTTGGAGTTGTATTCATGCATGCTAAAACCCATGAGACATCGCAGTGAACCAGCATAACACAACACCACGGGAGTTGTATGGGTTGTGTGCTAGTCCACGGGGCCATTGGCACAGAACTTTGCAGAACAGAGTTTTCACATGGGTTCCAGTAGCCTAGGTCAGTTCCGTGACAAGAAGATAAACTCTCTGGGTTTCCGTACTTACAAAATAGGATAAATACTTGTTTGTGGGGATTAATTAATATTTGAAGAGGACACTGTAGGAACAGCACAGGTTTTGGCAGTGTGGTGTTGGAGATACTATAATGCCAACAGTCTACACAGAAGGAAGAAGACAGCAGTGTTTCTTGCCACCAGTGAGAGACAAATGAGGTACAATGTTGTTGCTGTGAATCATCTTGATAATTCTGCTGCTTAGAGTAGGTTTCTTGCACAGGTTATTACCACTCACAAGTTTACGCTGTCAGATAGATGGCATCTGGTATAATAGAGACAGAGTAAGAATATCAGCTGCAAGTAGATATTGAATGCATGCATTGACTTGAACTCAGAAAATGTTAATCTAATGAGTCATTGCACATGCGTGCAGGCAATTATGTGACCTCATGTAGTCTACCAGATAAGGAGGAACAAGAACAAAAATGTGGTCAGACTTTTAACTTTGAATATGTACAACCTCCCCTCTCAAAATAAGACCAAGAATATCTACCCTTCATGGGCACAGCTGCTGTGCTTGTTGAAGAACCCACTGTCACTGAGGTCTCACCAGCTTTTTGTTGACGTGATGTGCACAGCCAAAATGAAAAGAGACAAACTCCCAAGCAGAGGGGAGCTCACTGCTGTCTCCTCAGTGAAATCTCATCAGGGTTTTCCTTCCACCCTGAATACAGGCACTGGCTCTCACTGACATGAAGGACGATGATGATGTGTTACTGTGTACTTATAGGGCTCAACCCTTTATAGGGAAAGAAATGCCAAAGAAACAAGAGCTTTGGCAAATATCTGGGCTTCTGAGTCTCACCATGATACCCTGTGCATCTCTTAAAAGTAATTTCATTGCCTGTGCCAGAATGGTGCTTGCTGCTGGTTCTGCATTGGAGCCATGGCAGCATCCGTACTCCAACAACAGACCTGCAAAATGGAGCACTGTGGTTATGGTAATTATATATATGCCTGTAAGCATGGGAATGGAGAAACCGATGGAAAGAACAGTGTAACATGTGCTGGAGATATGCTGGTCTGTCAAAGTACTTCTATGCACCTACCAGCTTGGCTTCTATGCTGTTTGAGGTAGCTGTTCATCATTCAGGCCCTATAAATGCCTTCCTTTTTGGCATATTTGTTCCAGTGCCTTCAAGAGGACTAACCATTTGGAGTAATGGGGTGAAACCAAGCCAAGAATGTCGTTAGACCAGCATTTGTTTCCAGGAAGGAATACTAGAGTCTGAAAAATGTTCTCTGAAGATGTGGGTGAGACCATGGTGCTTAGGCCATCACAACTGGACTGAACCAGACCACGGGAAATAGAGCTGTGGAGAAGATCTTGTAGTTAGTACACAGAGCTGTTCCTTCTGTTGTTCTCATGATGCACTCTTGTATTCAATGCAAACTTTGTTGTTTGTGTTGATCAGATGTTTCACCCTTTTGTTGTACCTGCAGTTGCAGTAGCTTCCCAACTAGAAGTAGCAAATGAAATTGCAAAGAGCCGAGAAGAAAATGTTTGTTGAAAATTAAAGCTTATGGAGAGTTGTGTGTCAGTGAAATGAAATGCAGCGAAATAGGACTAGCTGCTGAGAAGGAATTGACACATGGTCAGTATATATCCACCTGTAGATGTTCCCCCTCAGTGCTGGTCATATAGTGGGTAAGCATGAAATTTTGAAAGACTTGTGCACAACTATATATGCTTGTTTCCAGATGGCGATCATCTTCAACCAGGAGGGCCTGAAAGCTGTTCACCCCCCTTGCGTCATTCAGAGCTTCATCAATCACAATGCCGTGCTGTATAAAGTCTTCGTGGTTGGGGAATCCTACACAGTGGTGAAAAGACCATCTTTAAAGAACTTCTCTGCAGGAATCTCAGGTACGCTGTGCCCATTTAAAAGGAGATGTTAGTTCTCGGAGCCTTGGCAGCAAACAGCTCAAAAGTATCTTTGAAAAGGCTGCTGACATGAAGGCAGCTGGTCCTTGCATACCATGTTTCCTCTTCTGTATTATTTCAGTAGGAAGGGAGGGAGATAACTCATCTGCTCTGGAACACATAGGAAAGACATTCGTATAGTAAATATTTATGCAATGGTAACCTGAGTCTTACCTGTTACAAATAGTGGTTTATGTCATGTAGAAAGGGGGAGAAGGAGAGAAATTCCCATTTTACAGTGAGTTCATGTGTCATTTGTTCCAGAGTTTGTTTATAAATGTGCTTTGGAGAGAATTTCCTGGATTCCATCATTTCAGAACTTCCTCTCCCTATTTTTACCTTGATTATGCATGTGTGTTTAAATTAAAGATCACTTGTGCTCTACCCTAAATGAGCCTCTTGATACATGCGAGGCCCAGTACTGTAAACCATGGTGAGAAGTACCCTTTGGTTTGTAGATACCAGCTGTGCTAGGAAGGATGAATGGACTTGTCAGTGAGGACAGTGATCCTCCTGAATGTCATTTGAAAGCAACACTTGAAGGTTTTCCATTAAAGATTGCTTAAATTTCCTTTATGGGAAAAAGCTCCCTTCCAGAGAACTGCATTCTGTGGTCCAGCAGAAGCAAGAAGGAATTAGTAGTGCATGAATGGAAGCATGATCTGCTTGCAACTAGACAAATGTAGGAGATAGGGATGGGAGAGGAGAAGGTATTGAACTAAAGGAGATAAACGCACAAATGCCAGTTTCTTGTCACTTTTCTTAGTTTTCCGCTGATACTAGTATGTCCACATGTGTTCACCATTGCGATGTGCACACAGATATGTGTTTTGTTAGCATAGGTACAGTAGGATCCTGGTAAGTCTTTGTCTGTAGGCATGTATACCTGTGTTTACGTTCAGGTCTGCTCTATGTCCTGACCAAATGAAGTAGGCCAGAATATGTGTAAACTATTATGACAGTTGGTCTGTACTTTTTCTGGAAGGGAACATTTTAAGGCATCTTTCTAAAAATGCCTTGGCTAATGTCTCATCTGTTGGTGTAAGACTTGAAAGTTGTCTGGAAGCCCACATAAAAATGAGTTTTGTGGGCAGATTAGGGTAAGTGTCTGACTTTTTTTATCCTCATCAGGAGAATTTAGGGGGGCTGTTCTACAGGCATCTGACAAGGCAGATCTGACAATTAAGCAGATCTGGCAGGTGTGAGGTACTCCAGAAGCTGACAGTACGGGGCCTTTCTAAACGGGAGGAAAGGCAAGAACATTATATGCTGCTGTCAGATTGCAGAGATTTGGGTTTGCTTTTCACAGCTTCCCCATCTTTATCAAATGTGGACCTACAGCTGCTCTTAAGTATCCACTCAGAGAGACCAGCATGGCAGAAATACTGTTTTGCTGGTGACACCTGGGTGCTGAGACTTTAACTCAGGCATTCCCATGCGGGTTGTCTGTACAATGCCATCAGTCTGCTGTGGTGACAGTTCCAAGGGGAGACCTGCAGTGGATTTCTCCCCACCAGTAAAACCTCCATCACAGAGCAAGTGGGTTGGGAGGTGCTGGTATGATTCTCCCAGTATGTTCGTGGCTTCTGTCACCTCAGAGTATGTCCTGCATTCCTGTGGTGCTTCCAAAAGGAAGGCAGGTCCTGACTGTGAAATTTACTGCTTTTCCCCATGGTGGCAGTGGCCTCCGCAGGTTCGCAGGGATCTCAGGGTACCCTACGCGCTATCGATCTACTGCCTGCAGTGAATACAGCTTCTCTTTCTATCACACTTCCCATTGGAACTGTCACTTTGAGTATAACGAATTAGTAGAAATGAACTTAATTATCTTACTGAACTTAGTTAATTTGCTCAGGTGAAGGAAAGGAAACCGGTTCCTACTTAACCCAGTGCAGTTCTGTTTATCTGTGGTCCAAGGTCCAAAACCTGTGGGTGACTACTGCCTGCACAAGAAGCTAAGTGCCAGCAGGCAGGAGGGGCCCTGCGGGTGGGGTGGGTGGTGGGCACTGCACAGTAGGGATCAAGACTGGATTCCTGAGTCTGCAGTGCCATCTACTGTTCCTTACGCTAATCCTGTGAAAAGTAAAATTTGGTGTATTATTTACAACCTGCTTTTAATTCCAGACAGAGAATCAATATTTTTCAACAGCCACAATGTTTCAAAACCGGAATCGTCATCTGTCTTAACAGCAGTAAGTACACTTGATCTTTTTTCCTCTAACGTGGCTATAAAACTTACCTAGTCCTTTCTTATCGAAGCATTAGCAGCTAGTGACTCTCCTTCACAAGTTGTCTGCTTCTGTGTTGCAGGCTGAGGTCTGTTTGGTACCACGAGCCAGCATGACTGTGTCCCCCTCTGGTTTTCCTTACCGAGCTCCGGTGAGGAAGCACTGATGCAGGAGGGCTGTGCTGCTTGCCAGACCTAAACTCCCTAAAGCTAATCTAGGCAAGGGGAATGAGGAAGTTTTGAATGCGAACACCTGGCCTTTTCCTGTCCAAAAAGCTTGATAAGCATGAATCATCCTTCTAGGACGCAGTTCTGTGAGGAAAGACAAATGGTGAAAATTCAAGCAGAGAAATTACACTGGGCAGGGCCACAAAGTGCCATTAGCTGTCTGTGGTGAGAGCACAGCCAAGCTGTGACCACAGGACCATTTCTGGGTGTCTTCCGAGTCCAGCAGTGCCAGCACACTGCACAGTTTCACAGTTGCATTGCCAGTCCTTTCAATAGGCTTTGCACGTATGAATCCTAACGAGTTCTTGGGCACTCAGCTGCTGAGAAAGTCACTTTACAGAACTGGGTCCTTTCCAGATCTGAGTCTCTAGATTCTTTTCTGTTTCACAAGCTCTACTGGGGCATAGTTCCATAGTTGGCAATGATTAAATTTTGTATACACTGATAGGCATGCAAAATATTAAAATGGTAATTGTGCTAGTCATAAATCCCTTTATGGCTAAATTTACTTTGAAACTTAGAGTATATGCTCTGTGATTTGCCTGCCATCTCTCTCATACACATACATGCTTCTGTATACCTAACAGCATACTTTGGCTGCTTAACATGTTTAAAAAGTGAAGAAAGGTACATCTATCAGACAGAATTAACCTGAGTTACTCATTGTAATAAATCTTTATGGAATATTTTATACATGAAACCCACATATAAGATACGCCCTTTGAATTATCCTCTGCCCTGAAGATATCAGCTGAGTTGAATTGTATGTCTCAGATTAAACTAATAGCAGGAGTCTCTTTTATCAGCACTTTAACATAGGTCTTATTCTACATTGAAATAACAGAATGGTATGCAGAATATTTGCAGCATGGGGTTAAACACACCAGATGTATTTGGTTTTTAAGGTGTAGATCTAATACTTAAAATATTCTGAGTCTTCATTTATTCCTACACTGCTCTATCACTCAAGAACTGCACCAGAATGAAGAGGAAGAACTAGGTACTTTAGAGCAAGTGAACTTCCAATGTAGGAAGGATTCTGAGTTATGAAAGCAGTTTCTCTTTGGTGTCTTTCTCTGTTTCATGCCACTGGTTCTCTGCAATGAGATTTGTTGGATATGCACCTGGAAACCTCTGAAAATCAATCTTTCCAACAAAGCCTGTTTCAGAATCCCTCAGTAATGTGTCTTTTCCCACTCACTATAGCTGGATAAAATCGAAGGAGTATTTGAGCGGCCAAATGATGACGTCATCCGGGAAATCTCGAAGGCTCTGCGGCAAGCTCTGGGAGTTTCCCTCTTTGGAATTGATATCATCATTAACAATCAGACTGGGCAGCATGCCGTCATTGATATAAATGCATTCCCAGGTGAGAAAGGCTTATTCACTCATGCTCTGTGGAAACTGTGCCATGTGTACTTAGCACGGAGTTTTACTGCTGGTGTCTCACATCATTGCTCCACGGGTGTGGGACAGGAAAGCAGCAGTCAAATTGGTCTCAGATAAGATGCTGTTTGATTTGGGAAGGGCAGAATCCTAATCTAGATATGGAATGTGCTGCTCAAATATCAGCTTTTAAGAGATACGGTCAAGTTTTAGTGGCCAGCTGTAACATGGCTGTCATGCCCTTCCTTGCAAAGGGATGTCCAGGAACTGAAGTGTGAGACACTGTGCTAGCACCTGCCCTTTCTGGATCTGTCCCTCATTCTGAAAAGAAGAAATTCTATTTTAGGAGAGCCTTTTAAGATTTCTTTTTTTCCAGACTCTGTGCCATTAAAAGTGTTGTGGGGGTGGAAGTAGCAAACTGTTCTCTTGAAAATCTCTTCCTGTGCAGATTGAGTCCCCACAAAAAGATGTTTATGCACAAAGCAATAGCACCAGAAATGTGGCGATAATGATAAAAATGCAGGTGCAGAGAAGTTGCTATAAAAAGTTCAGTATTCTCACAGGTTCTCATAAGTGCATCCTGGAGTAAAACAATAGAATGGAGCATTTCAGGTAAATTTGTCCTCCCCTTTTTGCAACATATGTTTTGGAAACAGCTAAACAAGTTCCTTGACACTGGAATTGTTAAAAGGAGTTGTAAGTGTGTATAAGGGGAGACAGTAATGCTCTGTCACTTGTGCTAAATATTCGTAGCCTAACATGGTAAAAGAATACATCATCTCATTTGATGCTGTTTTGCATCGGGTTTTTCAATTTGAGAATCTCCTCTCAGTACCTGAATAGTGATTCTTGTCGCCAGAGATGTATACAGGCCACTACATAGTTTATTTGACCTGTCATTGAAGACCTTGAGTTTTCAATATGGCTGTAGTGTTTTTACATCTAGAGATCTTGCCCTGAGCTCCAGTTATCTAAATCTTTCAGTTCAGGTCTTCATCCCCACTGCTGCCCCGTAGTACCTTGCCTGTCTGTCTCCACAGTGACTGGCTTCCTTTTAAAACTCTGGTTCTGCTATTCTCGGGTCACTTTGCAGTTTGGTTCTACCATACAGTGTTGATGCAATCTGCATACGTATGAAAACAATCTTCTGGCAAAGACAGTGAAACAACCTAAATTGGGTGTCAGATGGTACCCTATCAGCTTTATGAATGGATTTATATTTCAGACACTGGGTCTTGGAAGTCAGGGATACAGGACATTCTTTTGCAATCCTGCATCCTGCATTTTGGTTTGGTGTTTGGAGGGTTTGATTTCGGTTTTGGGGTTGGGTGGTTTGGTTTTGTTTGTTTGTTTGTCTTGGTTTTGTTTGTTAGGGTTTTTTTCAAGTATTGTTTTGGATTTGGTACTTTGCACAGACTGCTGAAATTCCCCTTTTCTTGAAATGCTGACAAGTCCACACTGGGGAACAATTAGTGGCAAACTAACCAGTTAAACAGGAGTAATGTCTTCATGACGTGGCAGAAGTTTGCTGAACTGCCCTCAGCTTCATGCTCTGTTGTACTTCTACCCTAAGGCAATAGTTTTTGACACTCAGCCCAAATCCCGTGTTTTAATCTGTAGTAGTTTGTCTTTAAAGTGGCATTAAATTAATAGAGTGTGTTGTTCCTTGCAGGAGGCTTGAGAGCATGGGGAAGCTTCTTATGCACAGGTCTACATTGTACTTGTTTGCAGATGCATTGCTAGGTGGACATCCTTCCTATCCATGCTCAGCCAGAAGGTTCTGGAGACTTTTTTCAACATAGCAAAATTCAGGCCTCTTACAGGCAGGCATTTCCAAAATAGTTTCAGTGGGCAGTGCTAGGATAGTACCTCCTGGAGCACGGTTCATGCAACCTGTGCTTTGAGGCATGCAGAACTTATATCCTCCCACTGATGCCTTGTGTGACATGAATCCAGATTTCATTGCCAGTAGTTTCTGAAGGTGTAATTTAATCTGCCCTTCTTGATTTTGTTATCATCACAGCACAGTGATGGCCCACAGTTGCCTTTCTTGAGAGGCCTGCAGCAGCACCCAGTGAACATAGTGAGGTAACATACACAGACTTTTCAGCCTTCCCCAGCATCCTGTGGCTTGGGAGTTGAGATACCACGGTTCTCTTCCTCCCTTCTTTGTATTTGTTTTTTACAAGCGTGTTAAGTTTCTTCTGAGTGACCAGACAGAATTACTTGGCCCTTTACACTCAGTGTGCAGAGAGCTTGCACAGAGGAAGCTTGCCTGATACATACAGCTTCCTTACACTGCAATATCTGCTGATTTCAGAACTAAATAACTGGCCATCTTATTCCCATTAAATATTTAAAGTACCTTATTTTTAAGTTCGCCAGGTGCCCTCAGACAAGGCTGGTTTGTTTTCAGTGAGTGGACATTAAACACTCCAGGGTACTAGGGATCTCTTCTCTGAATATTAAAGCTGTTACTATGGAGATGGCTTATTCCCAGGGTGTTTGAAGCACTCTGAGTAGATTTGAAGCCTAATCCCTTGGCTTTTACATAAGCAAGAAAGCGTAACAAGCACCTCTGTCAAAGAGGTGGAGACCTTGTTCTGGCTCCCCTGACTAGCTGTAAGAGTCCTAGTTGCCCCCTGCAGATGGATTATCGCGTGGGGCAGTGGGAAAGTTGATGTTTTGAAATGGCCAGTTGTTTGTTGAACCTGTTTAAGGGCCTTTTGAGAAAGGAAAACTGGGAGCAGTTGTCTCACATTGCTGGTGTTTTGTGTGACCTGTAAAGAATCTAGAACTGTGACCAAGTGCATTAAAATCCAAAGCAATGCAGCAGCCTAACTAAGACTTAATTGCTTAATGTAATGGTTATAAATGCACCATAAAATCACCACATTTATCTTAAGGTGAAATTATCCTGTTCCTTAATTTTTTCAAGAATTTGGTTTTTTATAGCCTAAGAAAGTTGGTCTTTACAAGAGAATAGAGATTAAAATTGTAGTATTTATGGATCTGAGGGACTCTTCTGCCCTGCAACCACTCACTAAAAGTGTTCTAAAAGGTGCATGTACTTTATGGTCTCTGGTTATGCTCATGTGCTGCTGTGTGAATGTGTGCTGTCCACATGGGACTTCTAAACTGTTATTTATTGCTTCAGTCTCCTATATTAATACCAGGTCACCTTCAGAATACTTTTGTAGACATTTTCAAACAATCAGCTTATCCCATTAAATACACTGAATATCATATGTCACCTTGTCGTGGCTTAAGCCCAGCCGCAAATTCAGTACCACGTAGCAGTTCGCTCACTCCCCCGCCCTGCCGCCTTCCTCCCCCCATTTCCCGTAGGGATGGGGAGGAGAATCGAAAGAATGTAACTCCCACGGGTTGAGATAAGAACAGCCCAGTAACTAAGGTATAACACAAACCACTGCTGCTGCCACCAGTGATGATAATGATAAGGGAAATAACAAGGGCAGAGAATACAAGCACTCACCAACTGATACCCAGCCCAACCAAGCAGTGATCTAACCCTTCCAGGTAACTGCCCTCAGTTCTACATGCTGGCCATGATGTGTTCTGGTATGGAATACCTCTTTGGCTAGTTTGGGTCAGGTGTCCTGTCTCTGCTTCCTCCCGGCTTCCCCTCCTCCCTGACAGAGCATGAGACTCAGAAAGTCCTTGATCAGGCCAAACATTTGAGCAGTAACTAAAAAACATTGGTGTTATCAGCGCTGTTCCCAGGCGGAAAGTCAAAAACACAGCACTGCACCAGCTACTAAGAAGGAGAAAAATGACTGCTACTGCTGAACCCAGAACACACCTCTACATACTCAATCAAATTTATAACAATTTTAGGTAATGCAGTATCCATTTCAAGACATTGTGTCGATACACTGCATGTTTGTTTCAGTTATAAAACGAATGCAATGATAAAGCTGTGGCTGTACCAGAGTGTTTAAAATAGAGCCAGAAGCTCTGTACGCCTACTGCCACCCTTTGTGTCACCAAAAATGTCACATCTCCTGGTATTTGAGCAACTTTTTAACCAGGAAACTTGTTGTTAAATTCTGCATTGCAAATTGTCTGGAGTCACTTAACAGAACAAGTGGAAAGGTGGTTTCAGTACTGAAATGAAAGATTGATGTTTCAGTCCAATACTGTATCACTGATACATGCTTGCTGTCCCTTGAGCGCTTTTTCAGGCATTGCTCATAGCAGGAACATGTTTTAGGTGCCAAGTTAGGTTAGATTGGACATGCATCACATGCTTGCACAGTGGGAAGGTCCCTTTTCTGTAGGGTATAAAGCCAGCCACACTAGCCTCTTGAGATTTCCTAACGGAGGGCATTACTGGGGAAATTCTACAGAGAATTCAGACCCTCAAGGAGACTCTGCATTTACAGCTACTTTCCATCATAAACTTGGAACCAGAATAAAAAAGATCAATGTTACACCACAAAGTTTGTAATTCAGGGAAAAACCTGGACTTGGCAACAAGTGATAGAATATACCTAAGATTATGTATACACATACATACTTGGGAGGAAAAAGAAACAGAAAATCTGAAAGGTGACAGGTTTTTTTGATTGAAAAAAAGTGTTTTTGTAGCAAAGGTCTCTGTTCCTCTTTAAACTAACCTGCTCAGGCAGTCACTCAAAATGATGTTGTGGAAAAGAAGCCTTGTCCTTGGAGGACAAGGACAGCCCAAGAAATAAAGTGTTAGAAAAAGCCTTCAAAGGAACTTGGAAAAATGAATTAATTGCCTTTTTTTTTTTCTCTCCTTCATTTTTCCTCTTTTCAGGTTATGAGGGTGTTTCTGAATTTTTCACAGATCTCCTGAACCACATAGCTGCTGTCCTGCAGGGTCAGGCACCTGAGGTGACCCAGCTAAACCGCAGCAAGCTCCTGGCAGAGCAGACCAGCGGGATCATGGACGAGCGGATATGCTGCAGTAGCACAGGCTGTCTCAGCGTCATGGGAAAAGACTCCTCCTGGATTGTGGAAAGTGAGACCAACAGCTCAGTAAAACTGCAACACCAGAGACTAGGCTGCAACTCGGCAGTGTCCCCCAGCTTCCAGCAGCACTGTGTCGCTACGTTGGCAACAAAAGCTTCTTCTCAATAACTTGCTAATGCCATCCATGGACTGAGAAAAAGCCACAGGGATACAAATTGTGGTCCCAGAACCAGATCAGGCTGTAACAGTACATGTGAAATTGAAAACAAAACAAAACCAACAAACCACAATGTAGAAAAACAAAATGAAAATCCCTTCCATTTCATTTAACCTAATTGGCTGATGAAATGGACTGAAAGGGGGAGGGCAAGAAAGTGATTCAGGTCCATTTCATCAGATTCCAGTTGCAAGTCTATAGTGAGTTTACACACACGTGGGTTTTAACACTAGTCCTTTCATTGTGGGAGGGTTGCTCTTTCATTTCTATTGTTCTTTTTAATCACTGGTGACCAGCATTTTAAAATCGGACCTCATGGTTTCAAGAAGATAATAATGTTGAATGCAGTGTCTGAATGCAACAGTGCAAGAGATTTTTGCCTAAAATATTCCCTGTTCCCTTTTTCCAGGTAGGCCATTGCGAAAGAAAACTAAGACAACTTCAGTATCAGTAAACCAAATTTCTGAAAACATTAACCATCCAAGATATTGACAGCTTGCTGTAAAGCCATGGCACTTTGAGTGGGACAGAGCAGTGTGGTTGTTCAGGGTGCAGAACAGAGGTGATCACCCCTGTTGCAGCTTTGCAGTCCTCCCCCCAGGCCTCCTTGCTTCAATCAAAAGCAGCTCCTAACCATGTTTGCCAACAGCGGCACATGTTCGATCTGGACAGGATGCTGATAGCTAGGTTGAGTGATTTAGTAAATTAAATGTAATCCTTTCTATTGTCTGCTAGTGTTGAAGTCCTAGAAGAATTAATAGAAGCAGCTCATCTCTTAGAAGAGAATTTGATTCTCCCTCCATTGCACTTGTGAGGACTCTGGGACAGCTCTGCAAAAAGGCTGCAGAGACACACATTTCGTTGAAGCAATACACCTGATCTGCAGATCCTAAGGGGTATCACAGTTGCTACCTTCCAGAGATCCATACTGCTGTGCATTTTCTTTTCTTTTGCAAATTAAATATAAGCAGAATTGTGTACCTTTGTATGAGGTAGAAGTGCACAACAGCTCTAGCTTAGAGACCACATCATTTTGTTGCAAGCTGCCAGATGAGGCTGTGTGGTAATTTACAATGGCAGTTTATACTATTTGTGAACTACAACACAGCCTATTTGTATCTCTTGAGATACGCAGTAAACTTAGTGTTCACCCTCTATTGCATCATCTAGCATGGCAGCATCTTCTGTTAAGAATTCCTCCAACTTTTGCCAATTCTGAACACTAAACTGGAAGTATGTATGTCTGTCAGCGCTGAGAACAGAGACTCTATTTTGGTAGACAGAGAGGCCTTCCTTTCCCCATATAGGCCCTTTTAGGGATTATAACATATTTTATAAGTTTAAGAGGGGTAGCGTTAAGAAAATTTTCTTAGTTAAGCTTCTAGATTGCAGATATGGGAATTTCTGCCTTTCTGTAGCAGGTATTTGTAAAGCATCCATCACTGCAGCATTTAATACCAGTTTGGTTAGTGTCATGTGTTAGATATCTACTCAAAAGGAAAGGATCTAGAGCTTAAAGCCCAGGTAGACCATGGAGAGAGGATGAAACTGTGTAAAAGATGTTACTACCCTACCAGTTTGTATAAGTCCTTGAGGGGAAAAAGTTTTGAGGAGTGTTGTATAGCAGTTCTTTTGTGTAAACAGTGTTTCTGTCATTGGAGAGATTGGGTTAATTCCCAAAATGCCAATTTTAGGAATTTACTGTAGCCAGGATTGGATTTGCAAGGCTGATATACACAAGAAAGGTTATTCACCTTTAGAGGGGTTACTAACTTTAAGGTATTTCTGTAGAGACTGGAAGGACCTTATGAGTGTGATATCTGCACAATTCCAGGGTGCATGTAAATGCAGCCAACTTCCTCAGCTGTTGCAGATCAGTTCTGAACTGGGCACACTTAACAATCCTTGTATGCTTCGAAGCTGCTGGATCCCACATTGTCTGTAGCTTGCAGATCTTGAGTGGTTGTGGTGTGAGTCAGATGTACATAGGTAAGGGTTTATAAAGGTATTCCTGACAGACCAAACTTTTCGTAAAGCCATGACTGAAATAAATTTGACATCTACAGTTTGGGGGTTGTTTTTGTTTATTTAAAATAAAGAAGTGTTTTTATGTTACACGTGTAACAGAAGATACCCTCAGGAAGGAACTTGCCAGTGCATATTTTTGTATGGTACTTTCTTGTAACCAGCTGGTGGAGTGTTTGTAGATTTGCCTTTTGCTCCCTTTATTACAATGGCTTGGGTTGGGGGTGGGGGGTTTGATGTTTTTTTTTGTTTGTTTGTTTGTTTGTTTGGGATTTGATTGGGGTTTTTTGTGGGTTTTTTTTGTGGTTGGTGGTGTGTTGTTTTTTTTAATTGGGTGGTGGGGAAGAAGCAATGATGTTAGAACTGGGTTAGTAACTCAAGATCTTTCAAACCAAGTATGTTTACATGATTCTGGGTGTTGGATCCAATGGAAAAGTCTGTATGCTGTTTCCTAGTTAGAACATCAAATAAGAATTTTATTTTCTTGGCTGCCTTCTGAATTTTGGTTGGCCTATTTTGCACTGCTTTATTTCTCCAGAATAAACTACTGAAATATAATTGTGCATTTTAAACTTGTTTACAAGTGATTGTTAGAAGTTTATTTTGTAATTCTCTGAAGGCTGGAGAAATACTATATTTAACTATTACTCCAGACCTCGGCAGTAACTAGAGAACAAGTTTAGGTCATTGGTGTGATCAGTGATATTTTTCCCATAGTCTGTAATTTATTTTTTATTTATCAAATGTATTGGTATCACTTTAATTTACCAGGTGCAGATGTGCAGGTGCCTATTATGATATGGCATTACAATAGAGTTTTCACATAAATTACCATGCAATTGCTGTACTACTATATTTCCTTGCAGAAATTATTGTTATGGCTCATTGTGGCTAGAATGTTGCTATATCACAGGAGCAAATTGGGAGACCAACTTTTAAAAGCCAGACCTGTAAATTACCAAGTATCCAGACATACAATTACATTATTGCAAAACATTCAAGCATGCGTATATTATTAAGCCTGTGCTGTAGTGCTTTTCCGAATTGCTGCCTTCTTTGGTAAGTTCAGGATAGTTTTGATTTAAGGTAACCTTCACAGTAAGTTAGTTAATATTCTGTAGTCTTTTTTTGTAAAAGTAGAGGAGTTTAGTTGTATTAGACGATACCAAAATGCCCTTGCTCTTAAAATTGTGGACAATCTGAGGGAGATTTTCCATAATGTCTGTTTGAATTCTTTTAGTTTGGGTTAGAAAAGGTTCTGCTGTGTTTTCAGAGGCATAGCTATTATTGCTGTGTTGATGGGAGCAATTTTATTAAAATTACATGGTCACCAGTTACCCTCTTAGGGATCTATTTCTGTTCTGCTTCACTGTTAGAAATCCACAAGAACATCATTACCTTGGTTGGAATGTCTCCATTTTTTCTGTCAGTGTGATGGAGGAGATGGGACTCCTGTTTGCACTGTAATCATGTAATCAGCTTCAGAAGGGGAAGATTTTTTCCCCATTGAAGAAAATTTGAGTGGTATCATTACTGCCTGCAATGGCAAAGCCATCACCATCCTCCTCCTCATCTAGTGACTTTGCTGCATTATGCTTGGGTTTGTAATGATTTCACCAGAACATCCTGGTCATTACATGAAAACCAACTGCAGAAATGCAGCCCAACTAGGAGCATTGGTGCTGACCCTTGCGGTTTGTGTAGTGCAGAACAACCACTGGGTCGATGCTGGTTTGCCTTTGGTTAACCATGTGTCAGGCTATTCAACCTTCATGCTGTAGGAGCCGAGTGACTGAGCTGGTCAGTAGGTAGGGTGCACTATTTTTATTAATACTATTCAGACAGTTGGAATGATAAAGCTGTTTAAAGATCTCCATCCTTAAGGTGTGAATGTTTGTGCAGAGGAGTTCTGAAGCAGGTTGCTCAGATGGAAAACTCCCAGTTTAATTTGCTTTCATTACAGATGGGTACAAATTAAAAACTTGATGCTGAGGCTTCACAAGGTAAGAAGGATTGCTCAAGATAAAGCCTCGGGTTCTCCAGATTAACTGTGAGCTGTATCCAGACAGGGAACAAGCAGGTGGAGTACTGGATAGATAACAGAGGCAGGATACAGTCCAAAGGCAACAGAATAAATGAGGCCAGGGGTGTTTGACTTGGCCAGCTAAAAAGAGTGAAAAAAGCTAAAAAATGCATCCAGGCTTCTCAGTTCTTGGACTAACACTGGTTTCCCAAAGTCTTTGCGTGGCAGCAGTGACAAGTGAGTCAGGCTTTTTCACACTAGCTTGCAGCCTTGCCTTCCACAGCTGTGCAGAAGATCTTGAATTTTGGGTTTTTAGTGAATAGAGTCTGTTTTGAGTTTGTAGCATTCTCCCCATGTGCACACTTGCAGGAGTTCACTTGCATTACCCTGCTAATTTTCTTTTCCTCTCTCCATTTTAGTAAGAGATGTATTGATTTCTGTATTCAGTATACAATTACTTTATTGTGTTGCAACTGTGTGTTTTGTAATTAGGAGAATGTGAAAGTGCTTTGTGTAGATTAAAAGATTTCCTTTAATATAATCTCTCACTTTCATAGATAAATGGACACGCCGTTGCAGATCACATTGCTGATTTTGTTTGTAATATTGCTTTAATATCTATTTGAGAGGAATGTAACCTCCAGAAAAGTACTTTCCACATCTTCACTACCTTTCCTTTCCCTATTCACTCTGTGTGGATCCAGGCCATCAACACTTGAGCTTTTGACCTGCTGTATTTCAGATCCAACATGGATTCTGTCATGTTTACATGGCCACAAAAATTATTAAAAGGTCGTTGAAGTTTGAGAGGATCCAGTATAAATGGAGATGTTAGAGCGATTCCTGAGCAACACGAGCACTATAGCATCTGTACAAGCAAACGGAGTCATTCTTGAGGTGTGTGTGTGTGCAGGTGGCTGTTGGGATCTGGTCCACCCCTGGTTCTGGGGCAGTTTTCTTGTGGAAATAGAAAATCCACTGTAAGAAAACATTCTGTGTCTGTGATGCAGAAGGAGGGTGAGGAGAGGCAGAGCTTGGGAGTAAAATCCTGATACAAGTGGGCCAGAATTTAACTCCTTTTTAATAGCAATCTGGGGAGATGTTTTCTTTCTCTCCACCTTTCTTACCCTGAATCCACTGGGGCTGATGCTTGCCAATGGCTGTGGGCCACAGGAGCTCCTTTACAGGTGACCTTCCCAGCGTGCCATGAATTTGCAGAGAGCACCCAACGTGTTGGAAAGCTTTTGTTGATGGCCTGGAAATCTCTTGAAACTCCAGAAGTAGCTGAAACAGCAAATGGAGTTCATGAAAATCAGCTCTTCCTCTTCCATCCTTTTTAAAGAAACCCACATTTTATTTCCTCCTTTGTTCTTTACACAGTAGTTTTTAGATATAAATTATTTTAACATTTTTTGTGTGAAAAGACATATATACATATATAAAGTTATTAAAAGGTTGAGTATATGTTGAATATAAAATAGTGACTTCTTTGTTTCAGATGTTAGCAGCCCCTAAAAATAAGTTGTTTATCCTCTTGTAAAGTCAGTGCTGTAAAAAAAAATTAAAAATAAAAGATGTATTAGATGTATCTTTTATTATTTATTTCTCATTCAGTATTTGATACAGCTTGTGTATACCCTTGTGAGAATCACATGCTAAAATGCAGTCATTCTTAAAATGGAGTAACAACAATTCCTTGGGATCCCAATTTGGAGAAAACTGGCCCTCTGGGTGTCCATAGTGTTGGATATTCTCCTTCACTCTCCAGCATTGTTCCCCACCTAAGCATGGCTGAATCCTGGGGACCATTCTGTGTGTGTGCTAGGTTTTCCAAGTTCATCGATACCTGTGTTCAGATCCAGCTGTACAGTGTTAACAAGTGTGTCTTGTGATTCGCTTCAGCCTGGTTCGCTATGATTTCTGAAACATGATTCCCATTTTGTACTTAAATTTGTATAGAATTATATAAACCCATAAAAGATCATGGCTTACTGTACAAACCAAAAATACTTGCTATTTGGCGTCTTCGATTGCATGACTGATCAGATCTGACAATGGCGATGGTGCTTTCATCTAACAGCATTGATTTCAATGGTAATATATTCATTTTCATTTGCAAGCACCTGTTTTGGACAATGTTTTGGTTTCAGCAGTAAAGCAACATGCGGTAGGTTTTGTGGCATTATCTCTGTAATTGTTTTGAAGACAGAATTGTCCCTTGCCAACACATAATGAAAATAAATGCCTTATAACAACTTCTACTTTGCCTTCTCTTTATGAGTGGATAGGGCAGCGAGGTGAGCAGCTCACTGGGGGAAGTTCGTTTCCATGAGAATTTGGTTTTCACATCTTTCTTCAGTGCAGTTGTTTGCAGTACCAGCAAGATTTGATTTGATTTCTAACACTAGTGGGAAGTGTTTGTCTCTACTATGTAACACAGCTAAACACCACTGGGATTTAGGCTATTGCTATACTTAAGCATTTATTTCCAGTGTAGGCTTCTGAGTTGATTCTTCCTTTATCATCCTGGGTAGGGAATTCTTGATTTCAAGATTAATTCTTGATTAATCAATTAATTGTTAATTAAAAAACCTAGCAGGGTTTTCAATCAGGACTGTATGTGGGCTGCAGCAGGAAAGAGATATCTCACCCAGAGGCATTAAATTTTGCTAAGCAACAAGCATTCAGCAAGGACACTCATGTAAACACCGCCTGGGGATTAGTGCTTGGTGTCAGCCCCAAGGCTAAGCCCTGCAGTGGTGAGTTGGGAGACACCATCAAGCAGAGATACAGCCCATCGGAGGGCCAGCACTTCCCAGCTGGTGGGGAATCCTCCCAGGCCCTGTGCTCAAGCCTTGAACCTCCATCTTTCCCTTTGAAGAAAGTCCTTGGGTACCAGATGTTTGTGATTGCTTGAATATTCAGTTAAAACACTGTTTATAATAGCTCCATCAAGTAACATTATTTTTGCTCTTGATTTTGCAGCAAGTTCTGTCTGCTGCAACCATCCTTTGTGG